TCAAAATTTTCGCATGCTTTGACTCCTTTGTTGAATTAATCGAAAGTAACGTGATGTTAAGTATAATATAATTCATCTTCAAAACTTTATTAATTTTCTAATTTCCGCCACAAAATAAGTCAAATATTACTTTATGTATTTATGCCTTCAAATTTATAAATAACTCGAAAAAATTAGACCCTATCAAAGTCTATAACTTCACGTTCATTAATTACATAATCAAAATTATAATTGTCCCATTATCTAAATGTAGATAAAAATATAATATCTTTTCATAAAGTAAATTAAGGAAAATATTTATAGCTATAGGTGGTCCTAATTATAGAGCCACCTACTTTTGACCCAAAAAGATAATACACACAACGGTCCATTAATAGCTAAGAGTGAGTTTGTCTTATTGTTTTTATCTATATTGGATCATATTCTTCAAATGTTGTTTGGCACGTTATTCTCAAAATATTAGTCTATTTTTTTAATTATTTTTAGACCTTATAAGTTTATTAATTTCATTAAATACCCCCAGAAAAAAGTTTAAAAACTAACAAAACACTCCCACCCGCCAATACTTGTCAGATTCCGACAACCCACCGCCGGTGGTAGCGGGAATCTATCAAAACAGTCACAACACCACCGAAAATTGTCGGTAATGGCCAGATCTGGCATTTTCTGTCTAAATCCGTGATCGTTGACAGACAACGACGGTCATATCTTGGTCGTTGCTGACGACCAAAGATGGCCTTTTCCAGCCGTCGAAGGCCACATTCGGCCTTAAATTTGCATTTTTCGGCCAAATCCGTGGTGGATAAGGCCAGAAAAGGCCATATCGATCGAATACAGTCCAGATCCGACGGTATGTGTGGCCATTTCCCATTTCCATTTTCCGATCAGATTCCGGCTGGTGGCAGAATCAGGCACTGCGAGTGGTAAGGGTGTTTTTATCATTTTCAATATTTAATATATTAGGGTATTTATTAAATTAGCAAACCTTGGAAGCTTTTTCATAAATTTTAAATTTTATCTCGTAATACTCCCCTATCCAATTATTCAATATTATTCCTAAAATTCTACCAAAATGATAAACCAAACGTACCCTAAATGTTATATTAATTGCTATTATGTAACCATAAATTGTTATTATGTGCCAGATTGGCAGCCATGAAATTTGTAAACGTATTTTGCCATTAAATTATTATTATTATTATTATTTTTTATTATTTTTTTTTGATGTATAGTATATTTACGAGCCTTATATTTTGTCCTGAAGGGGCTATCGTTTTGGATAGTGACAAAAGTTGGCACATTTTGTAATATTTAGATTTGGTAGAAGGGTAATATGGTAAAGTTGTTAGTTAATTTGAATGATGAAGTAGCCGTTTGATGTGAATATTTGATATAGGGAAAAAGACAGGTGGTGGTTTTTTTCAGGATCTGAGTGAATTCTGATCTAAAATGTCTATTCTCTAATCATATACTACCCAACTTTTTGTTGCTCGAAAATAGAGCCTTTATAAAAACTCGTTTAGTCTAGAGTTTTGATTAAAACTGATAACCTTAGGGCTATTTTAAATGTAAGATAATTTTTTATGTGAGACATGTTAGAGAGGACGTGGCAAATTGGCAATTGCCCATTGGCTTGTACAATGTCTATTTGAATTACATTTATGGGCTCATTCAATTGCCATCCTAAAATTTGTCGTGAAAACGTTTTCCCCTCCCAATTCTGGGAAACTAATATTCTAACCACTGAATAACATGTTTGTCAATTATATGTAATGATGCAAAGGGTAAAAATTATATTTTGAATAATCAGTTGAAAAGTGTAGGCCAAATGACTTGTCCTTTTTTTTTTTTTAAGCATCAGGGGTATCTAGATCAGCTTATATATATCTTAATTAATTTTTCGGGATCTTAAAATTACCGGCCAGATAAGAGCTCTAGTGACTACCTCTATTAACATCCGAAAAGGAACTCAAATTCAAGACCTTTTGAGCAATACACCTAAGAGTTCCTATCAAACCGTTCAATTGATAGTTCGATTTGTCATTTTAGCTAAAATGGTTGTCTATTTTGAATAAATTACTAACCATTTTAGCATTGTTGCAATTCTCTAATGTAAAAAAGGTTAAGTAATTTGTTAAAAATATCTTTTAGATCCTTTACATCGTTATTTGAATGATAGAATCTCCATTTTTAGGTGATAGCGTTAGTTTCCCTAAGCAGGAGGAAAATAGTTTCAACGCTAAACATCAATCAATCACAACTTTAAGTTTAATCGAGCTAAAGAATTAAATAAGGACAACATTACGAATTTTCACATGTCAAATTAAATGTTTCACATGGAGAAACAATTATTGGGTATCTTTTTCTTAGTTCTTAATTGGAGTTGAAGTATTCTCACAATTTAGTCCCAATTGGTTATACATCAAATGATTTGAGTGGGTAGTTGAGCTTTCAATATAAATCTTCTAAAACGAACTTCATTTCATTTCCTTTTGAGTCTTTAAAAAACTTACAACTAAATAGAAAAAGGGGAAAAGGAGCAGCAACGGCTAGCAAATTGAGTTGAAAAAATAATAAAAAGTAACCTTTTTCACCATAAAAAAGTTAAATAACCCTTGACTTTTTATGTAGGCATGGTGGTCACTTTATCAAAGTTTTATCCTCTTAATTCTTACATCCCGCCTTTTCATTTCAACTTTGTGTTTCTTGGAATCATTTGTCCACATCTACCTTATTTTCTTTTTAAATAATTTAAATATAATCATTCTTATATAAGCGAAAAAAAAAAAAAAAAACCTTCTTATGAAATCAAATAAAGTGTTATAGTATAAACATCCATGCCCAATTTGAGATTAATTTAAAGATAAAATTGTTAAAGACAAAATTATAATAGTTAATGTTGAATTTAGAGTTGAAGACATCGACCTTTTGAAGTTGATATAATATAAAATTCTCATAAGGTTTCCAATTTAATAAAATTCTCTTTACCATTATAGAAGTTAATAAGCAGTTGAAAAACATAAATTATTACGAGTTCATAAATTTAATCCAATTACCATCCTCCCATTTATTTTAACATGTAAAACTTAATAGCTCAAAGATTTATGTCGTTTCATAAATCTTAAGTGATTTTTGTTATTTACAGGAAAACAGAAATCATAATAGGCTACTATATTAAATATAAGTTTTTAAAATAACAATTAATATTAATTTGGTATTATAAGAGATTGAATTAAATTCCCATTTAGGGCTAAGGTCGCCCTACTTCTAATTAGCATTTATTATATTAATACAATGGTGAAGAAGCTTCAAAGTGGTTAGACCAAATCACCTTTTAAGTAATGTAATGACCCATAAAAAGGTTAGATGTTAAAAAGGATTGAACCCACTTGAGCCACCTGCCCTTTTCACCAACACTTCATTAATAAACTATGATTTATGAATGATTAATACTTAAAACTAAATACAAATCAAACACCCATAAAATCTCACATTATAATATTATGGAACTCAACAACTCAAGGACTTCAAATTCAAACTTCAAAACCTACAAATTGGGCAATCTTTTTATTTATTGTCAAAGATGATCTTAGGCATCTTGAGGCTAATCCTCAAACCACCGTTTTGTCGATTGTCCAACAAGATTTTCTGCCCCAAAAGAAAATGACCTCTTTTGGGTATATTTGTTTCATTGTTTGTACTCACAAACAAAAATGTAATCTCTGTGCCAGGAGCGTCAGGTTATAGTAGAGTTGAAGTGATTTATTTCAATAGGCCATTTATGAATCACGGGCTACTTTTGATTCATTATAACAAATGTCAGGACTTTTAGACCACTCGTTCGTCCATTTGAATAGTAATGGGCTCTGCTATGTTGCATGGATTGGGTCAAAGCCTCACTGGTCTGGTCCGGCCCGGCTCAGCTCATATTCATATAGTAGTAAGTAAATTTTCAAAACAATTTTTTAGTTTGTAAAATGTGTTTATATTATTATATTATAAAATTGTGAGTATATTTACTGAGTTTAGTTATTGTAACACAAATCCATAGTCCATTGACTTAATGTAATCCAACGGATTTGGATAAGAAATTAGAGTTAATTAAATTTTAATGCCAACTAAATAGTTTTTAAGTCATTAGGTTATTATGAATTAATGATCAGGAATTTTTGTCAAAAATTTGTATTACAATAGTTTAACTCATATTTAATGAGAAAAAGACTCTTTCCCACCCAAGGTTTGCTTTAATGACACTTTTTCACCCAAAAAGTTTTAAAATACCACTTTTTCACCCAAAGTTTATATTCCAACCAATTGTCGGCTAATTTCAACATCTTTGTGACGTCAAACCACCTTCATTCTCTTTTCCGGTCATCACTCACTAAAACCTTTTAAACCCTACTCTCGCTGACCTTGTCAATTGTTGGCAATCGAGCGATTTGTGAAACGCGTAACTGCCCCTTCCAAGTTAGATTTTGACCAATCTCGATCACCAAAATCCAACCTGTTATCACCAAAAGACTTACTGGCATCCCTCTTCAAAAACCTCAATATCCTGAACTGAGTTTGCTCTCTATTGGTTGTCGAATCGGAAAGTGTATTATGGGTAGTAAACGAAATATAAACTTTGAGTAGGAAAGTGGTATTTTGAAACTTTTTTGGTGAAAAGGCAAAGCTTGGGTGGGAAAAAGTAGTTTACTCCATATTTAATTTTTGCTGGACCCATATTTAATTTCATAAATACTTTGCATAACTTAAAAAAAAATTAATTATTAAATTATATCACATAATATTATTGGAAGAGGAAACAAAATGACTTGCCACTAAAACATTAAATTTTTATTGGAAACTAATAATGTTAGAGGCATGATTGGCATGTACAATTATACATATTTTAACTAAAAACGACAAACCGTTACGGATTAGCAAGCAGGGGTGCCAGCACGGATCGGTATAACGTATAAGTAATTAAAACGCTCGCTTATTTTCAATTACGCTATATTTTCTCCAGAAACGATCAATCACCTTAAAGTCAAGAGTCAGAGGCGAGCGAAAACAGAAAAAGAAGAAACTTTCATCCTTTCTTTCTCGGACAAGCGTCTTTTTCTCTCTCGTCAATCAAACTTTCTCTTTCTTAGGTAAATTTTTTAACTCTCTGTACATATGTCAAGATATACGCGTAATTTATAAAGGATTACTCTTTTTTTTTTCTGTTCATTTGATTAGATCACTAGTTAATTATCATCTTACGTTCTTATTAAGCTGAAATCTTAATTATCTTTGATACTTTGATCGATTTCTGCTGCTTTTCGTTTTGATTTATTTAATTATGAATTTGAGCTGCCATTTTATGAGCTGTATACACACAGCACTGATTTAATTGATCTCTAGTGGTTCTGGTGTAGAACTTGTAAGAATTGGCTCAGGTTTTGAATTTCTATGATTATTGAGAATTAAAAGTTGTTGAGAACGAAGCAGTTTGAGCTAAATATCATTGTTTCAGACCAAATCATTCTAGAATGAGATTGATTTTAGTTTAATAGAACAACTCATACTATGAGCAGATTAACTGTGATGGCGGTATTCAGGTTTACATGTGATCAAGAGTAGATTTGTGTGAAGAATTGTTCAAAATGTTGATAATAAGAGGCTTAAACATTCATACAAGTTAATCTAATGGAACTCTGTTTCATTTATGGAATTAATGATGTCTGTTAAAAATTAAGAAAATTATTAAGCGCAAAGTGATTCCAATCAGTGGAATGCTAAATTGTAATTGCATTTCAAATGCAAAGTTATTGATGCATAGTAGTTTACAAGTTGATGCTAGCTTGTATTAATCAGAATTGCAAAACTTGAACCATACAATTTTATGTAATAGCCACAGAAGTTCTTTTCTTTTTCTTTACTGCTACTATTATTCTTATTGTTTGCATGTCATAGCTGCAACAGGTTTGAGAAGTGATACTCTTGGAATAATTTGAAGGATTACAGGACAAAGCTGAGAAGATACTCAGACTGATTTTAACAACCTGGTTAAGCTGTGCTGGATTCCACTGTGAATTTGGTTGCTCATGTGGCCTTTTTATTTTGTATTAAATAAGATTCTTAAAGCCGAAGAAGACGAAGAAGAAATAGTGAATGTATCAGATGGAAATCTTGTAAGTGTGGTAGAACGCTGCTCATCTGAGCACTTGTCAAGTAATGAGAAGTACAATGATGCAGTCTTGCCAAGAGTGCACTTTGTTCAAGTGAGTGCATATTGGCTCTTTTTATGCCTTATTTTTCATATACACTTTATGTTGGATTTTAGGTTTAGGTAGTTAGTAAATAGATCATGAAATAAGATAACAACGTAAAACTTTAATTTTGTTTATGTTTATGAACATTCTTATTGATAATCAATATTTTTCAGCAAGTTGTAATTCTAGTTTTGTTTGAATACTTTAAGTTGGCCTGGTGGTTGTAGGTCCCTCATATAAACCAGCAAGAGTCTTGGGACTGTGGCCTTGCATGCGTTTTGATGGTATTGAGAACAATTGGAATCAACAACTGTGATATTCAAGGTTTGGCAGAGTTATGCTGCACAACCAGGTTTGTTGTTCACTATAAAATAGAACGTCATTTTTTTATGGACTGCTTTGTGAATTTAGTTGTTGATAATTTTATCTGATTGATTAAAATAGAAGCATTTGTTGTTTGGAATCGCTGAAAATAAGAATGGAGTGAAAGCTTTCTTAACTTTTAAATGAAAAACTTGTTTAAAGATGTTAGATAGTCATATAGATTGCATCATAGGTCATGGATGCACTGAATGATATGAGAGACATGAAGAGGTCTTCTCTAAGATAGCTTAATGGCTCTTCCGTTGATCAGTTAGCTTGATTGCTGATCTTGACATGAATACTATGTGCTCTAATAAAGTTGATAGTGTGGAGGAGTACCCATAAGCCTCTATGTTGTCATTTTTAAAAAGTGAGTGGAGTATACTTGAGATGCAGTAGTATGAGCTGGTATGAAAAATATATGATGAATCTCATTCCCAAAATCTTATTGCAGCATTTGGACCGTCGATCTGGCATATTTACTGCAGAAATTTAATGTTAAGTTTTCCTACTTCACAGTAACATTTGGAGCAAACCCCAATTACTCTGTGGAGACATTTTACCAGGTGATTTCTTTCATATGCATGAGTAGTTTCAATGACCTAGTAATTCTTTTATTGTAACTTGCAAATTGATCAAGTAGTAATTTTTTAACATGATGTTTTTTTGTTCTGTTTGGGGGTTTATCTCTATTGTAAGATGAACAAATGTTGAGTTCTTGGAGCACCTAGTCTTTGCATGATTAGATTTCAAAGTATTGTGCTACCATCAATACCTAAAGGCCAATCTCATTATTGAGTAGTCTTTCTTGAATGTTGTTTTTTCCTTTTTTTTTTTTTTAACACATTATAAATCATTAATGATGAGGTATGCTGGATTATACTTTTTCATGTCCGTTTGGAGTGCAAAGTTGCAAAGACAATTTGCTTGGTTTAGTTGGCATTTGATATATGAATATAGATGTGCAAAGTTTATATGTTATTACCCATGCCATCCATACTTTTTAGGATATGCTTGATGTTGACTATTATACAAAGTTCATGTTCTTACACTAGTTTGAAGTGAACAACATCATTTTTTATAGATGTGGGCCTCTCTTTTTGCCTCCTTCACCACAATGTGTTTCATTAAGCTTTGGGGTTTTCGAGCTCTGTTATCATATCCCTGATCAACACTTCTTAAACTGCCAAAGTAGATTTTATTTTATGGTGGAACTAGAACTTATTGTTTTTGTGTATATTTTATCTGATAGTTGTTTTTTCTTATTGATCATATAAACCAGTTACCATGAGCAACTGACATTTAATCGATAAGACTTACTTTATTCCTCTTTCTCTAGGCATTAACTGAATCTTGGATTAATAGCCGCTATTGCTATTTATCATGCATTAATGCTTGTGATGATTCTATTAGCAGGATTTGGCTTCTGAAAGAAAAAACAGGGTTTTGATATATTTTTTTCTCTACTGTTGTTTTCCTCAATTCAACTGTACATATATTATCATTCTTATGATCTTTCCTTGACGCTTTTGTAATTTATAGTTGACTATTAATATACTTTTTAGTTCATTTCATTGCCATTTGTGACAGTAATATTAGTGGATGTTTTGTCTCAATATTTTGCAGGAGCAATTGCCCACTGATCTTGTTCGAGTGGATATGCTATTCCAGAAAGCAAGGGGAGCTGGTATTAATATAGAGGTATAATCCTGTCATCAAATGCACTTCATGTTTTAGAATTATTTTTTGTTTGCACAGCAATGTTCTATGGTAAAGTGTTTTCCGCTGTCTCGTTGCAACAAATTTTGAAGCTGGACTGTTGCACAGTGTTCATATTTTACAGAGTGTAACTTGAAAATTTGAACTAGATGGGTTGGTCTCTCTTGGATTAGTAAATATTTATTTTGGTTTCATTGAGTATCAAAACGTATGGAAGGTAAATTGGGATGAACCTAGAAGTGGACCAAAAACCACCTTGTTTTTATTATCTATCATCATTAAGATGCTCCTTATTCATGCTTGATTTAAATATACTCTTTGGATAAGCCTACGAACCTTCTCCTTTTTACAGTGCAGGTCAATCAGCAGAGTAGAAATTTCTCTCAAGATATTGTCTGGGAACTATGTTGCGATTGCATTAGTTGACCAGTATAAATTAAGGTATTTACTTCCTACAATATATTTCTTTTATTTGTGCTTTTTGTATTTTTACTTTTAAATAATTTCACCTTTAACTGTTACATGGCTATTATGTTATTATACCATGTATATTTTCCTGTCTTGTGCAGACCCAAAAAATGAGGAAAAATCTCTATATTTTTTAGTTTTCATGACAAAGTTTATTAGCGTATTTAATTAGCCAAAACTTTCCCTTCATACATCCTCTTTACTTCTTCCACCTCCATTACTTCTGCATATGAGTAACTTTAAACTAAAGGCTTCACTAGAAAGAAGAGCTGCTCTTAAGTAATAATTGTCCCCTTTATTAAATGCTCTGCCAAACTTTTGTGTCACAGTCAGCCTTGGATGGAGGATGTCATTGTCCCGGGCCTCTACAACGACTGTGGTTATACTGGTGAGGAGTGGTGTTTAATTTCAATGTTCATTACTTTTTGTGATAAGGGTCTTAGCATTGCTTTATATAATAGAGTGCTCAAATGGACTTATTTCAGTCTATTTATCTTAGGGAGCTTAACAGAATATTCATTGTTAACTTGTTCTGGTCAAATCTTCTTTGGGTGCTACATGACAATTTCTGAGTGTATATATAGACATAGTTATGTCATTATGATTGAGTTAATACAAAAGCGGTGTGTTAGATTCTTTTCTTTTGATATCCATCCTTTATATCAGGGTCAATAATCCTTATCTTTCAAAATTTTCTGGAGAAGTATACTTAGTTGTTCTTTAATTCTTATATATGTGTGAGACGTTTGAATTGATATTGTTGAGATGGAATGTCTTCTTTAGGTCACTATGTTGTGATATGTGGCTACGATGCTGGTGCAGATGAGTTTGAAATCAGAGATCCTGCCAGTTCTGGGTATAATCTTTGTTCTCTTTTGTTGTCATTTCTACTTTCCCCGTTGATAGATCACAACAGAAAGGAAAGGAAAAAGAACATTTGCTCCTAACCAATTTTTTGGCTGAGAATATCGATGTTCATTAATATGGTGGTGCGTGAATGACTAAGCACTCAGGAGTCAGTTCTTATGGTAAAAAAATTTGTGATGGACTACACTGCTAGTGTACGCTTACCAAAGCAAATAAATCCTGTGTTCCAAACTATATGTCAAAACTAGAACTTTGAAGGTCTCCCTAAACTTAACAAGATATATTATTCAGATAAATATAGTTCTTTAAAATGGTGGATGGACTGGGGATCAGAGTATCTCCCTGTAATGTTATGGTTAATGTTAGTTGATTGTGCTAAATAATTCAAATTTGTTAGGTAGAACCATTTAAACAGAATTTATTTGCCCTGTGAATGCTTTTTCAGAAAATGTTAACAAAATTTTGCGCCTCATTTGCTTGGAAGAACTTGGGGCATCATTTTTTAGGATGTTAAATCTTTTTTTATGATATTTTGTCAATAGTATTTGCATTTGAAAATTTAGTTTAGCTTGTTATCGAAGCATGGTCTTTGAAAACTTGTGCAGGAAACATGAGAGGGTCTCATCAAAGCGCCTTGAAGAAGCTCGAAAATCCTTTGGTACTGACGAAGATCTTCTCCTGGTAATTATCTTCACCTTGCCAATGCCTCATAATGTTAGTGTATTTTCACAAAACCTTGTTAAATTCATAATTAACACGAGTATGATCTAAGAAATAAGAAGTAAATAAAACAGAACCGAGTCATTACATGAACAAAAGATTTGATTTCTAGTTTTATTAAAATTATCACCTTTTATTTTCAATATTTCCAATTTTCCATCTTACAGATATCCCTGGGGAAGAGTGAGAAGTAGACCTTTTCTTGAGCATAACTTTCTTCATGTCAATCCGATTATGTGACATTACACCTTGCGTATATTACAAATTTGTGTATAATATGTGCATCATTATAAACCAAACTGATAAAATCTCTCACTTCACTTTACATGCATATATGCTTGTAAGTATTTAATTCATATTTAAATGTAAATTAACATATAATTTTTGTAAATTCTTTTCTTTTAATAGATTGTGTATTATTCTTCCAAATAATGTTGAGACACAGGCAGTTGCCCTGTCTTCAAACAGATTCTGAAAGCTCAGTTATACCACTTTTTCTTCAATAAATTGGTCCGCTTTTCATTGGCACTTTTGTTTAATAAATTATGCTTCAATTACTTTGCAAATGTATTTTTTTTTTCTTCTTAATTATCTCAGTAGTGTTCTTGAAATCGAAAATATTATCGGTACTGCTAAATACTGACCACCTCCTGTTTAAGATAAAATTGTAATCTCAATTTTTTTTTTGCTGATATTTTCTTGAAGGACAGTATTCCGATTGTTTATTCTGCCTGTGATTCTTAAAATATGAAAGAAAAGATTCTTATTTCCATTTTTGTATTTATTTCGTATGTAATACCCACTAATTTTTTGACCTATTATAAGTTTATAACTATCATAAAAGAGCAATGCCCGTTTTACAAAGACATACAAAGGGGTATACAAAGACAATCCTTACCTTTGATTTTTATGATTTCTCTCTCTTCTTATCTCTTCTTATCTCTTTTTCTGTTTTTTCTTTATTTTTTTCTTCTTATTGATATTATTTTGTAGCATTTTTTATATGGATCTTTGTAAGGATATCATTTTTCATCAGAAAAACATTGTATCGTTGCTCATTGGCTTGCATCTTTGTAAGCAAGCCCAAATCAGAACCTGTTGTTTGCTTGTGCAGTATAGCAAAAGGGTGGAGGTTATTTAGCACGAGTCTTATCTTTTTAGAAGGGTAGTGATACTGATACCATATCCAAATAAAAATGCTGCAATACCGGAGGCTTTTGGGCAGCCTGCAACTGCCGGGAACAAATCCCTGAAAACATAGAAAAATTAATATGATTAGGTAATAATGAATCTTTAAATTGTATAAATCTGATCGAAAAGGGACACATTACCTGAATCGAGTTAGGTTCTTAATTGCAGGCATGTTGAACAAATCTAATTTTTTTTTTTTTTTTAAGAAAAAAAAGGAGAAAAGTGTGTAAATTGTTTAATAGAATTAGTGAGTTGGTGATGGACGTGTAATGGGCTAATTAGACATAAGAGAGGGAGATTCAAAACGAAGATGTAAAGCTACAGTGGTATTGGAGGACATAACATAACATATTTCCAAGAATCTCCCAAAACAAGGTTCTCGACACCCTTTATTATTATTATTATTATTATTTCCCGTAGAACAATGAGACATGTCTCTCCATACATCCACCCCATTACTTGGTCCTTTGTAAATGTAATTGCATTACATATTATTCGCTTCGGTCATATTTTTTTTTTCCGAATTTCAAACAATTCTCGCATGCCCACTTCCCTCTTTGTTTGTCTATGTGGATAACGCACAAAATTGTATAACCACTTAAATTCACCTCAGGATTATTTTAGGGGAAGAAAAAAGTAAGATTTCTTTAACTTCTTAGGGCAGGCAGATATTTAGTTGGTGTCGGCCAAAATCTTTTAGTGTTTGTAATTGGAAGTTTCAAACTAGGCATTTAAATATAAATATTTAGCTTTTTTTTTTTTTTGTATTTTTCATGGAACCAATAATGACACCAATCACATGGTTGCATAGAGGGAGTTAGAACCATGAACAAATGGTCCTAGGTTGCTCCAAACTTGTCATCAAATTCAACTGACAAATCCACTCCCAAATCACTTTCTTACATCCCCACTTTGTAGCAGTATTTTAATGTACTTACAAACCTTAAAAAAAATATATATATAAAAAAAAAAAATGAAGCATGTGCATCCTCTGCTAGACCTAGTTGCCCATAACTACAAACAAGACATTTCTCACACAAAATAATACTAATAATAATAGAGTTGATGGCTTGGAAGAACAAAAGGGTTGTGTTAGGCATGGACATGTCATTTTCTAATAAACATAATTTTGCCTATCTGTCAAGTTCTTTTCAGATACCCTCCATTTAGCCAGATTTATGGTGGGTTCTTTCTTGTCAATTTCTAGTAATAAGCCAAGCCTTGCAGTCACAACACTTAAGGGTCGGAAAAGAAACAAGTGATTTAGATTCATTCCAGGATTTTTTGTAGATCTGGTGTCCCATTTTTTGGATCTGAAAATCCCATTTACAAACTTAATTCAATTCATCCATTGCTTCAATTAGCTTTCATATATTTGAGGAATCTAGGATATTTAATGACCATGTCATGTGAACCTCAACTCCATGTATTTCAATATTATATTAAAAATAAATTTAACAAAACTCCCCGATAAATATCATAAAATCCCATTAAAAAAGTTATCATTAAACCCTTAATAAATATAAAAGAAAAAAGGTAGAAAAATTTAAAAAGATTTTTCTTGGTAGGGAAATGAATTTATTATGAAAGTGGTTTCATTTAAAAGGGTAATACATTGCATTATTGGTGCCCTGTATTCGAGGAATTGACCATTGACCACTCAGCATTACATGTAGAGCACGTGAGTCAGAGTGTACTCTTGATCTTATGTTATATAAGTAGGGATCCTAAGCATTCAATTTTCTAAAGCCCATCAATTCGCACTTGTTTTCGTCCTTTCATTCTTACCATATCATAAATAGAAATTATTTTATCCCTAATATTATACTTAAAAAAAAAAACGCGACCAAATCTGATAGTTTATGGTCAAATCTAGTTGTAGATCTTGCATTTTTCGATTAGGTTCACGGTGAATCTGACTGTAAAAATGTCATTTTAGCATATGACCGACTAGATCTAGCCAATCGTGCATCGATACGGTAACTCCAGCCACCCTCTAACGGTGGTAGATGACTGTCGGTATTTAATGGGTGAGCGGAGATATTTTTGTAATTTTTAATAATTTTATTATAGGGGTGTTCAATAAATTAATAAAAATTAAGGGATATTTTATTAAATTTTAAATTTTACCTTATTATTATTACCCAATTTTTATGTTTTCAAAAATACTAAAACAAATGTACCCCTAAATCAAGGGTAAAATAAAAGGACCTAACCTCTTTATTATTAGAATTTAATTAAATTAAAAAAAACATTCATTTACTCCATTTCACCCACAAAGAAAGCTGGCCCAGTTAAAATCTGCCATTTCAGAGGTTAAGGACTTAAAAATTAAGAGAGGCATGTGTTAGAAAGTAAATCAAATCAATTCACTGTTAATTTTTCTGCATGGTTGGTGCTCTATTTTATTTACCAAACCTAACATCTTTCATTCAAAGTCAAATCCATTGAAGAAAACTAGTACGTGTTGCTTCATTATTAATACAAAGTTCTGGACTGGAGACGTACTATTAATTCCATTTATTTCTCAATATCTTTGGTGGAAGGAGTGTTTTGTAATCACCTAATATGGATAAATGACACATGCTAACGTGACATATAAGGATGAAAGATTCCATACCCCTACAGATTCAGGGCAGGTCTCATTGAATAAGAAAGGTGAAGATTTGGTATGGTACATGTGCATCACATTTATGTTTAATTTTTACCACAAATAAATAGAAAGATAGTAGGATTAAGAGTAAACAACTTTTTTCCACTCAAATAACGGTTTAATGACACTTTTTTTTGCCTATAAACATTTAAAATATTACTTTATTATCTAATTTTATATTCTATTTTCAATTTCAACATCGTTACGATCTCACATCATTACTATTCTCTTTTTCGATTATCATTTATTAAAACCTTTTAAACCTTACTTTTGTTGATGCCATTAATCGTCGGCAATCGAGAGATCGCCTCTCTCAGGTCAAATTCTAATCAATCTCAATAACCGAATTTCAACATTTTACTACCAAAAGACTTATTATTGGACTTCTTTCTTTAAAACCCCAATAGTCTGGATCGAGTTTGTTTTTTGTTAGTCGTCGAAATATAAATTTGGATAATAAAATTATATTTTAAAAATCTATGGGTGAAAAAATATCATTAAACTATTATTTAGGTGGGAAAAAGTAGTTAACTCGTAGGATTTATAAGGAGAACTTAGGTTTTTATAATCGTCAAATTAATGAATAATACTATACCAACAACCTTCTCTCACAACCTTGGCGTGACAGCTTACAATTAGTCAATTCAAAACAAGTCCCATATAAGTTTTATTAATTAATTATAAATTGATTAATTACGAAATATCACGTTAGGATTATGAGAGAAAATTTATAAAAAATATTATTGATATAGTATTACTTCCAATTAAAGGAGAGGGTACACTTATAAATTAAACAAATATTCATTAATCCATAATAATAATACAATTCTGACGATGTTTCGTTATTTAACTGGACATGGGATGGGAGGGTGGATGTCATTATCCCAAAACAAATTTAAAATCAGCAACTACAAATTAACCAATCAATGAGACATTGGCTTCTAGTGGGAAATAGCTACCTGCCCCATATCCATTCCAACCGTTGAGTTTAAACTTCAAATTTCAAAAACCTAAATAATAAAATATTTATTTATGTCTTCTCATTTCAGAAGATTTGTGACACTGACGGTTGATTGTGTATTTCGGCGCCAAATTCAAAAATATCTTGCGGGAATATCAAAGCAAACTTCTGTTTACGTCTATTTATGATGTAATATTTCCACAAATTCACGATAAATATCATTTAGATCCCTTATCTAGTTATCTTTTGCTTAATTACTAAAAATCTCTCCCACAAAATTAAAAACACATTCTTGAGGGGTGAAATACAATAAAAAATGGAAATTTCTATCTGTGGGCAATTTACAATATGTATTTTTGAAAATAAAGTAAAGTTTAGGGTTAAAATAAAAAGAAAAAAGGACTAGTTTGTGCAGACTGGTCGGCAGACACAGCCCACCAACAATCACCACGAATGTGTCTGTGTCCGTCAGTCTTCGTTTTAGCTTTATCCATACGCGCTTACTACTCATACTTTTCTCACGCGCGGTATATCGTCTGATGCCCATTAATGAACAAAAATTATTTATAAAATGATAAAATATCATAATTACCTCTTTAATCAAATAAGATAAAATAATTTTTCTATTATATATATCTACAGAACAGTTATCCCACCAAAAAAGTTGTTAGTCAATGAGATTAAGGCTTCGTTTGGTTGGATTTTGGGAATACTACTTTTAGTATTCCCAAAAAAGTTAAACAGTAAAATACTCAAAAATTCACAATATTATTCAACTTTATTCAACATTATTTAAACCCCCTAAATTTGTTAATTCAATTAAATACCCTTAAATATTTTTAATGTTTTTGTTACGGCGACTCCGATCACCCTTCGGTGGTAGTGGCCGGCTGTCCGTATTTGAGGGTGGATTGGAGGTGTTTTTGTTAACTTTTAATATTTTATTATAAGGGGTGTTTTGTAAAAAAATAAACATAGGGGATATTTATCAATTTGTAAATCCTACATCGTAATACCCGCCTAATTCAACTTTTTTTAACTTTTTTCAAAAAACTTTTCCCAAAAACATAAAATTGTGAACCAAACGGAGCCTAATTGTTTATTTAATTAATTATTTTTAATTTCTTATATTAAATTAGTTGATATCAGACAAAATATTTTATCAATAATTTCTCTCTGACAAGTACGGTAAGACAACTAATTGGACTTTCACGCACAGAGATACGAGATATTAACATTTTAATTAAAAGTGAGCACACACGCGTTTAATGAGAGTGGGACTAATATATTAAACCGCCAACACCGATGAACTGCGCAGTACCATATGGCAGCCCATACAGAGCAATAAGTTGTACGCTTAGAGACATTATTACCTTTGAGAGAGGTGGCAATAGACCGTGTCTTAAAATTCAAGACTTATTATATCGTAAGTCGTGTCATATCAGACAAAATTTGTGCCTATTATGCCGTGCCCGTTTACCAAATTGAAAAATAATACAATCACTTATATTAAATTTGTGCGATGATAGTATATTAAATTTGTACATAGAATGAGAGTAACAAAATCATTAGAATTTTATTATATCATTCTATACATAAATTTAATTTATTATCATCAATGACGATAACATTACTCCTACTAAATTACCATTACCAACGTTATATATCATTTCGTGCCTAACATCGATTTACATGTTTTCTAAAAATATTTAAATTTAATATTTATAAATTATAATAATTTTAACTTATTATTAAAATATTTTATTTGATATATTTAATGATATTTTATATTTATATTAATTATAAAATATTAATTAAATTTTAATACTTTTTATTATTTATGAGTTATAATTATAAATTACAAATACAAACATAGAAATTAGGATTAAAAATTATTACATATCTTATTTTCATTAATTTTTAAATTCTTATAATTTTATAAATTTTATTTTATTATTTTTGTGTTATGCCATGCTGGCTCACGTGCCTTTTTTAAGGCCCACGACACAACTTGTATATTTTAGTGTCGTGTCGTGTCGTGTTGTGTCGTACTTTTTTTGTATCGTGTCGGCTCATCGTCGACTCTACCCTTTAATATAACCTTAATTTCCTCTAATATACAAGCAAATTTCTTGAAATTTTTAAACTTCTATTACCCCTTATAAATACACAAAATGCTGTGGATAACTGCTTTCAACAATCATTTGGTACACAATTTTTCACTACTTTATTCCCTATTCTATCTCAAAAATACATTTATTTGCGTATTCTTAAAATATTATTCAATTCTTTTTAAACCCCTTAGATTTGTTAATTTAACTAAATACCCAATTTTTTTTAGAAATTGACAAAAACACCCTAACAATCCACATTTGCCAGATTCCGGCCACCACCATTAGAAGCTGGCCGGAATCTGATATAATGACACACTACCAGCTAGATTTAGTCAGTAGTGCGTTGATCTAGTATTTTTTCATTAGATCTACAGTGGATCTGACCGAAAAATTATCAACGATGGCCATATCTTTTAACCGTCATTAACAGCCAAATACTACAAGATCTGAAAGTCAGTGGCCAGATCTAACCGTAGATCTGACCAAAAAAGGCTATATCAATGCATGATCAGCCAGATCCAGTCGGTTGTGTATCGATATGATAACTCTGGCCACCCTCCGATAGTGGTGACCCGTTGTCAATATTTAATTGGTAGATAAAGGGTATTTTTGTTTATTTTTAATATTTTATTATAAGAGTGTTTATTAAATACAAAAACTTAAAGGTATTTTTTTTTTAATTTCTAAATCTTACATGTAATACTCCCCCATTTTTTTTTAAATATTATTGTGAAAGGTATCGTAATAATCAACTAAGTGCACCCCAAAATTTAGAGAAAATATTCGGTCATCAAATCAAATCGATATAATTATGAGTTTTAGAAATTTATAAAAAAAAAAAAAAATTCTGTTCCCGCTCTTTTGGCTAATGTGATGTCATTTTCAGAAGGTGTCGCACGGCCCACAGCAACTTCCTCGTTTCACTCTCTTAATAAATTTTGTTTCTTTTTTTTCTCTTTTATTTCCAATCATCACTTTTAGCGGGAAATGTATTGAATCAACTATAATTCGGTTTTCAGGTCCGTGATAACTGTCGTTATAACGACCAAATATTTGTAGGGCACAGGTCTTAGAGACCTAGGCTTATAGGTGACTTTGCGTCTTTGCCTATGAGACTTGGATGATGTGATCCATGTAATCATGATTATGATAAACTTATCCTTAATTACTGTGTAATCCCGACAAAAATAATAATTAATTTTAGATATTATCTCTTAAATTAATAAATAAAAAATATTTAAATTATGAATAATGATTAATATTAATTATAGAAAAGCTAAATGGCGTTAGATAACGGCGTGAAATTGGAGGCGTTGAAAGAGGCGAAATTACAGAAAGGATAATGACAATTAAGCTGCCGAATCTGGGTTAACGCCACGTAACCAGAAGATTCAGATTCCCCTATTAAACACAGTGGATAATGCTGTGATCACCAGGCAGTTCACGGGTCCTCTGTGACACCCACTTACTTTAGCTTGCTTCAAGAAGCAACAATGAGAGCAGGCAAAATCTGTGAAATTTATCATTAAAATGATGTTTTACTCATTATGGCTTATATTCTTACACATAACATAACGCATGGATTAATTAATTAATAAAAAACTAAAATTTTTAAATATTTTAATTTATAAATAAGATTATATCATATAAATAATGAAGATTTCAAATTTAAAATGGGAATTTTGTTAGGTAAATCTAATAATGTGACCATCATATCTAAACCTAACGAATTGAATTATTTTATTTGGTATATATTTTTATATTTAAATTTAGAATTGACTTGGTTTACATATCAAATAAGAATCATAAAGATAGCAAAATTACAAGAAGAACACTAGAATCTTAATTCAACTTATTCTAAAATTGGAATATTATGTAATAGAAAAGGACAAAATCAAGTTTAATTAATTAAGAAAAAACCCATTTGGTAGATAACGTTTCTTAAACGTTTCATTTAAGGTCCTCAGTAAAACGTAAGAAGAAGATAAGATAAGATAAGGTGTTAAAAAAAAAATAAAAAAAATAAATAATAAAATGATTAAGGGTTAATTAATAGATAGTAATGAGGAATTATGGGGTGGAGAAGTGATAATGATTATGTCGTTACTTTAATTAGTGACACAGAGTGCTACGAATAAAGCAGCAATGAGGACTGAGAATGTGCTGCTACTAGCTATATATGTTTCTTACCCAAATCAAACGTGGGTTCCACCTGTAATCATCTTAATCAACATCATAGCCTTTTATAAAATTAACCCAATGTTCGTTACTTTCAAGTTTTAATTATATTATTTTTAATTTAATTAATAATTAAACTTCATAACCCTCACTACTTGAAATGATAAATATTTGGTATATTAACATGAAAAATAATATAGTTATAGAAGGATGTACACCGAATGACGTAACATAATCTTGACTATTGATTAAATCTACAGTTAGAATTTTGTCATGTTATTTAATGTGCATCCTTCGGTAACTGTAACATTATTCTATTAACATTTGGTGAATATATATTTTAAAAATATTAATTTATACATGGAAAATAAAAATAAAAATTTGCATTTGACCTCAATCTTATTCCTTTGCAAATGATAAACAGTGAGTCAAATAATTACATGGCCACCCTTGTATGGGATCCAATCATGATTTTGACATTAGAGTCAACTATTATATACTCACAACATCACTTGTCCTATGTTACCCTCCCACACTATTTTTTTTTTTTCTTTTTAATGATCGGGGTGTTTGGACCAACTTACCGATACGTTAATTAATTCTTAAAACCTTAAGTTAATGATTGAATAAACCGATAGTCACCATTTGTATTAACAATTGAGACGAATCGAGCTCAAGATCTTAATTCGCCTAAAAATCCTAATTAACCAGGTGATGGTTTCCGCACGTTGCTTTGAGTAGCCAGATTACACTCTATTTTTCCGTTTAATCACATATATGGGTTACTTACATGTTAAACCCTAATAAAAATGCACAGATGGCAGGCGAATTACGCAGCAGCACAAACGTCTCGATCCACCTTGCCGTCTCTCTCCTTCTCTGTGCCGTGCATTTTTTGCTTCTTACAATTTTTTTTGAAGCTGTCTCGAAGCAACCCTGAAACCTTAATAAAAGCACCTTGTCGTCAACATTCTCATCCATCTTTCTCTCTCTTTACTCTTCTTTTGTTGGGTCCCTCATTCTCTCTCTCTCTCTTTCTCTCAAACTCAAAGCTCCGTCATTATTAAGGATTTAAATCTTCTTCACGCAGCAAAACGCAGCTCTCAAAACCAAACCAAACCAAACCCTCTTCTACTCTATTCTGTGTCTTTGTTTTTTTTCTTCTGCCAACATGGCCGAGTCAGAGTCTTTGAACGACGCCGTCTTTTGGTTACCTTCTAAGTTTGAAGATGTACTTATCGTGGATAAGGAAAACTCCCCCGTTGTGAAGAACGGTTATGTGAAGAGTGTTGATGAGTTGAAGAAGCCCAGTACTCTCAGCTTCCCTACTGAGTTTCCTTACGAGTTTGACTCGCTCGATTCAGCCCTTAGTTCTCCGGTGGTGTCAGTGCAAGGTTCGACTGAGACGGAGAACACCAGCGACGAGGAGGACTTCCTTGCTGGGTTAACTCGCCGTCTCACTCACTCCTCAACTCAGAAACTCGCTGTTCCTGGTCTCACTAAAGACAAACTCGAGGTATAATTCCAGGAATCCTTATTTATCCACTTTACGTAAACGTTATTTAAAAATTTTAAGTTTTAAGCTCTTGTTTTGACGTTTTTCTTTTTTGAGCAGAGCTGGGTTATGGCCGGGTCACCCGAGTCGACACTGAGTGGAATAGGGAGCTGGTCAGTGTCAAGCAACGGCAGCCCAAACGGTTCCTCTCTTGTATCGTCTCCTCCAACGACGCCGTTTGGTGATCAAAACGACACGTGGGACCTTATCTCTGCCGCTGCAGGTCAAGTCGCGAGGTTGAAGATGAGTAACGAAGGCTTCAAATGCAACGACATCAACAAAAGCCATGGCCGAGGCCTTATTGCTCCTCCCAAGACTACTCCAAGCCCCGTGCATGTTGTCAAGAATCCCAAATTTGGCTTATATTTAAACCAATCTGTTAATTACGGCCCTGCTCAAACAAATCAGGTGAGTTATTTTGTAAAAACCCAAAAAAGTTAAAACTGAATCCAAGATTTAATACTTTGGATATAGTTGATAGCGTTTAATTTTGAACTGCAGTATCAGATGCTAAGGCCTCAAAACGGTGTGATGCGGGGAAGGCAGCAACAAGTGAGGTCAACGTGGTCAACTCAGCCACAGCCGCAACCGCAACAGATCCAGACTAAAGCTAGAAGTGTGGTTTATGAAAATGCGAGACGTGGGCGTACGCTTGGGATTTCTCAAGCTGCATGGCCGCCCCTTCAAGTTCAGCAACAACATCAACAACAACACTCTGCTTCAGGCGCGAAAGGTGTGTTTCCTGGTGGATCTGGTGGCGTTAAAAGAGAATGTGCTGGTACTGGTGTGTTCTTGCCACGGAGATATGGGAATAATCCTCCTGATTCTCGTAAAAAATCAGGTAAAGTTAGATGAACTTCACATTTTTGTAGATTTGGATTGATTTTGTTTCAATTTTTCTTTGACTAAATGCTCTGTTTTTCTCTGTTATTTCAGGTTGTTCAACTGTTCTAGTTCCAGCTAAGGTTGTTCAGGCTTTGAATCTGAGCTTTGACGAAATAAATGGGAATAATGCTCATGCTCAGCACCGATTCAACACAGCTTTTGGTCCACACTATGGTGAGTTATAATAAATCTCTGTTCATGAAGGGCATGTTTGTATAGTTTCTTTCTAGTGTTTTTTGGATTAATTTTTGTGGGTTTATTTTAACCTGACAGATGCTTTAATGGCGAGAAGGACTGCGCTTTTGACACTTCAAAAGCAACGAGGTTTAAGACCTGAAGCTGCTCCACTAAATCATGAAATACATCTTCCCCAGGAGTGGACATATTGAAGAATAAGAAGAAGAAGAAGAAAACATTTAGTCGCAGATTTGATCTCATTTTGTTGGAAAAGATTTTTTAAAAAAAAAAAAGGAAAAATGAAGTATAAAGGCAGTAATTTCTGATGGAGAAATATGGGGTTTGGTTTTCTTAAGGTAAGAAATTAAGAATGCGAGTGTAGTTAGTAGAACAATAATTAATTAAATTTTCCTGGTGGTTTTTCAGGAGGTTGCAGGTTTTGTTGAGTAGATTTTAGATGAATTAAGAACAAATTATAGGAGGAAGAAGGGAAGAGGGTTTTTAGTTTTTACTTAGTTTTTTATTTTTTGGGTGTAATAAGTGGATTTCCATCTTCTGGGTTTGATGTATTTGGGCTTTGATATGTCGTTAATTTATTTTTTGATAAATGTTGTCTGGTTGTAGAAGAGGAATCCACAACCCTCTCTGTTGTAATAGCCCTTGGCAGATATAATTTTAATAAGAAATATTTATTATTTTATTTATCAGAAGTCTGCTTTTTTTTCTTCACAGTTCCATCTCACTTTACCTTTGCTTTTTCCCTTTCTTTTTCCACTTTAAAATACGACCCCAGAACCAGAATCCAAAAACCTCAAATTTCAAAAAAATTTATCTTGAATTTCAAGGCCTTAGGTAACTCAATTTACTGGATATTTTCTAAGTTAACTATGGAGCGTCTGTTTCTCGATTTTTGTTCTTTCTTATTCCTTATTATTTTTAAAGTACTCGTTTGTTTTTCTATTTTCAAAATATTATTAAATTTTATTTATTTTTTAAACCTTTTATTAATTTAACTAAACAAAAAAAAAAAGAAAAAAAATTAGAAATAGATAAAATCACTTTTGACTCATATTTGTTAGATTTCGAGTCATTATTGTAGGAGGGTGGTTGGAATATGATATAATTGCACATTAGCCGTCGGATCTAACTGTAGTGTGCTGATATAGTATTTTCTAATTAGATCTGGCTGAAAAAGATTTTGATCATATTTAGTAGTAGGTTTCACATTTCGGTGGATCTGGCTAGAAAATACTAATCAATCGTATATCATATACGTCGATACGATGACTTCAACCATTCTTCAGCAGTGATGATCGACTGTTATTTAATGGATGAGTGGGTGGATGAAGATATTTTTATAATTTTTAATATTTTTATTATAAGAGTGTAGGTGTTTTTATTAATTTTTAATTTTTATCTCATTATTACTATCCATCCAACTCTTACTCTTTTTTTTTTTTTTTTAATATACTAAAACATCCTATATTTTTATTGAAGAAAGTGTACGTTAATGGAGATAATGTTTGAATAACACTTTAAAAAGCATGTTAAAAAACAAAAGGAGTTGCTTCAGCGTGAAGCAGCAGAGGTGGTAGGGACAGTGATGAGATATGGGGATGAAAAGGCCCCATGGCCCCCGTCTTCTTCAATCTTCATCATCTTTTCTTTGCTTTTCTTGAAGAGTACGTAGTATCTCGTTACATTTCCCGGTTTTTTTTGTTCAAAAAAGTTAAAACTCTGCTCTTTGGTTCTTGTGTATCCTTCAGTTTTGACTTGGGTCAAACTCTTCTTCTTTTTATACCAAAATCCATTTCTTAATGCACTTCCAGCTTCGAAATTAGTATTTAATTTAACAACACTCATTCTTTTGGTGTCAGTCTGGGTATTGATCAGAGATTTATTTTTGAGTTTTAAATAGTGCTTTAACTGGGCTCAAGTGTTGGACAGAAAGGCTAATGGAAGAAATCGATGCTGTGTTGTTAGGATCTTTTAACTGATAGTTCATTAGTAAATCACTGTTGTGCGCATTAATTAAGACTATAATCAAAGCAAAACTGAAACAGTAATAAAGCGTTTACAGCAATTTTCTCCTCAAGGTTTCCAAAAGTGACCAATACACCCAAACGCTTGATTTCTTTCTTGTATAAGAACCATAGTTCCATTTGTCTAATTAGACAAAAAGGTATTGTGATTTGAGTAATACTACACCCACAATCTCGAAATTTGGATGTATATGGAAAAGTAATTAGACAAGGTGTATATGGAAAAGTAATCAATAATTTGGGTGTATTTTTAACTTTTCGAAAGTCGAGGATAAAATTGAAACACACCCACTCCAGTAATTAAACCAAACCAGGATTATCTGGAGTCAAAGAGAATGTCACAACACAACTACACAAGTAATGTTTTCAAGATCCTATGTATGGTAATGGTGTTGCTGGCGCTAGCTTCTGTTTTGTTTGCTTTTGCTTTTTAAATTGGAAATACGCAGGCTTTTATCTGGAAATGGAAGTTTTTTTAGTGGGTTTAGTTTTAATTAATTGAGGTAGGGTTCGTTTTGTCTTCTGTCACAAAACAGAGTAACAGTCACCCCATGAATTATTAATTAGGAAAATCAAATTATGGATTAATCATGAGTCTAATACACGAGGTCCCGAGTTCGAGTTTTCCATCGATTGTTAATAAGAGTAGTCATTGGAGTAGTTATTCGACGTCAAACTGTTCCGAACACCCTGATTATATATATAAAAAAAAAGTCTAATACAAGTAATCAAGTTTGATTAGTGGTTTTATATATTAATATTATGATATAAGTTCAAAATTTTGAAATTTTCTTTATCAAAAAGTAGTCATCATAGGTCATTTGATTAGATTCCTCTTTCAAACACAAATATAATTTGAAATGAACCCCTCCAAATTTGATGTGAGAAAAAAGGTCAACTAATATGGTAAGGGTGGGTAGAGACTTGTTCCATAATTGAAGATTCAAAGTCAAAATGGAGCAATGTGGCAATGGTTCTATTGGTTTGTGATAAAATAAATTGATTTATCATCTAATTTTGAATTTGGGTTTGAAGCAAAGGTAGACAAGCTGTCTACTTTCAACACGTGGAAGCCTCTGAAATTTGGTGGGCTTCTATCATCTAGATTTTGGGCCCATCTCAAGCCGTTAATTATGGCCCAATTTAAGATTATTTTCGTACATTTGCTAAAATTGTTCTATTCTTTAGTGCGTAATGGCTTCATTTCTACTCTTGCTCAATAACTTAATTTCTTGCTTTTAACACACATTTATAAATCAATTATTACTTTGTAATAAGTTGAATAGTTTATTACCAATACATATAAACATGATGCTATTGATATATCAGTGATTTTGTTATCTTTGAGTGTCTTCGTACAAAGCGTTTTTATTCGACAGTATTTTTAATCGAAACACGAGTCAAGATGTATTTTGATAATATATAAGGTTTTATTTAATATTAATTATATCCTTTTAATCATATTATTGATGGTCAATCTATTTTTATTCTTATCATAAACATTATTATGCACATGTACAATTCCATATATGCTTAAACCAATCAAAACTTCCACTCCCACTTCCACCACTCTTTAGTGCTATCTATTATGCTTCCGATTGTGGGTGGTGGCGTGCCTCAAGTTATCATGCTACTGGATTGCATAATGAAAGCCATAATGTTGCCAATAAATTTCACCCTATCTTAATAATAACCCAAAATCCTTCGGTGAATTAAAAAAATAATAAAAATCAGTAGGGCAAAAATACAGTTGCTATGCAGCTTTTTGTTTCAATTTTTTCTTCCCTTCATTTTCACGGGTCATGGGCTCTGGGCTTCTGATCTCAAATATTGATATGGGTCTCGGGCCTAGGAAGCCCAATCAAAACTAGGCACAGAATATAATTACAGTGATGATTTCTCAAGGGTTCATTCTTTGGAAAAAAAAACAAAAAAAAAGGCTCAAACTTTTATTGATGAAAAACTCGTTTATTACAAACACACTCACACACCCATAATATATTATTCTCTTATTAATTATATTTTACAGAGAAAGGCACACATAAAATTACTGAAGAAACTGATTAAGTAGATGAGATTTCAATGGCCTTGACGTCAGGTTTCTTCACTTCTTGTTTAGGCACAGTCACAGTCAAGACTCCATTTTCCATGGAAGCCTTAACTTGATCGGTCTTGGCATTTTCTGGTAACCTGAACCTTCTTAAGAACTGACCACTGCTCCTCTCAACACGATGCCAAGTGTCATTCTTCTCTTCCAGTTCCTTCTTTCTCTCCCCGCTTATTTGCAAGACATTGCCGTCTTCAATCTCGACCTTCACTTCTTCTTTCTTGAGGCCTGGCAGATCAGCCTTGAAGACGTGGGCTTCCGGGGTCTCTTTCCAGTCTATGCGAGTGTTGGCAAACGCAGCGGTCTCGTTGGAGAGTTCGGAGCGAGGAACTGAAGAGATTGAGAGGTTTGAGAAGGGAAGGTCTTGAAATGGATCCCATATATCAAGAGAGAGTGGGTCGAAGATGTTGGTTCTTCGGCCAAAGAAGTTGCTTGGAATCAGAGACATTGTTGTGTTTTTCTTAAAGAAAGTCTGCAAATGAGATAGTTTGTAGAGTTGTTTGGATGCTGGGAAAATGAATTCCTTAGTTATTTGGTCTGGTGGGGTCGAGGAAGCTGAAGTACATTTATAGAGAAGGAAAATGGTACTGTGAGAGAATATTTGAGTCAGTTCATGATGTTTCAGGAAGATGAAGAATTATCTGGTAGCGAAAAGATTGAAAAAGATTGGTGACCTTTCTCGAAGATATATCTAATGAAAATTTGTGCTAATAAGATAAAAATAGAAATCAAAACAATGCATAAGGACAAGTTCATCAAAGGCTGCAACATCAAAAAGAGTCAAAAATTCTCTTGATTGGAATAAGGAATTAAAGTATAATCTTAGGTAAAGTTAAGATTCAATATCATCAGCAATGTTATAAAATAAAATCTCTTCAAGGTTCCACCCTCTTCTATTAGGAAACTATTACCAAACTAATCTTTTTCAATGGCTGTCGGGTCAAAAAATGAACCCAATACCCAATTGATAGCTGTTCGGCCATAGCCCATAAACAAGTTGGGCTGCGTGTTCAATTGCTGTACTGGACGCTTTAGGCTTAGTTCGTGATCCAAGGGCCACACAGTTCTTGGGCAAACCCCATTTTCTCAGATGCACACAAACCAATAGCAACCTTGCGAGTTTCAAAGTTGTAGCATTCATAAGCAGAAAAAGCTCCATGGAGAACCAAACCAACACAGAGATGCATCAAAGAAAGGGTCGCAGATTGGTTCTGTTTCCTCTTCCATCTCAAGGCCACATAAATCCAATGCTACAGCTAGCAAACATTCTCCATTCACAAGGCTTCTCCATAACCATAATACACACCAGGGGCGGATCCAGCATGCCTACCCTCAGATTTTGAATTTTTTTTTTTTGTAAATATTTATAATTAATTGTTTTTATATCAAAAAGTATGAGTAATGCTACAGCCGCCGAAGGTTACGTACCGAATCTGTGCACCGAATGACTTGACAAAATCCTGACCGTTGATTCATTATTAGTTACTATTAATCAACTATCAAGGTTTTGCTACGTCATTCGGTGCACAGATTCGGTGCGCAACCTTCGATGGCTCTATCATTTTCTAAAAAGTATATATATATATATATATGGCCTACAATAAAAGTAATCGTGATAATAGGTTAACGTCGCCCACCAATCATAAATATAACGGCTATGTTGGCCTAACAGTTTAATTATTATAAATATATTTATATATATGCAGCTAATTAATCTCCACAGCTTTTTGTATTCTTAATTTTATTTAGTGAGTGCATCCCTTTGTTTTCATCGCTCGATTGGAGTTAACTTTTCAAGATCCAAATTGTTCAACCTTTTAGTATTCAAGATGCAAACTATTTTCTGCTTTATTAGTTTTATGTAATATATATTATTTATTTTAATTTAGTTTATTTTAAGATTGAATTATGTTTATTCTTTATTTTTTTAGGTTTTTTGTTCTGATGAAGAAAAATATGAATCTTATGAGTTTGTTTGATTTTGTAATTAGTTGAAAACATTATTATCAATTTGACTTTAGATATAACAAATACATTTATAAAATTAATTTTTTATTTAATTAAAGGACAACTTGATTTGCACCAATCATTAATATATTAATAATGATATTTTTATTATTTTATAAAGTAATTAGTTGGTTAAGTATATTCTAATAAAAATTAAATTAAATCTAGTTGATCTATGCCAATAATTTAAATGTTGGAAAATTGATTAGTAAATTATTTAAGTTTTTAAATTTCACTAAAATGATTTTAAATATAAGAAAATTAACACAATAAAATGATTAATTAATTACTAAAATAATCTTTTAATTAGATCTAATTGTTACATCTAAAAATGTAATAAATCAGTTTTTGTAATTTTATTAATTAAAGTTTCATTAGTCTTTCTTTATAAATATTATACTATCTTTTTTTATTTGATAGCTATGATATCTAATTATTTTAAGAGATTAAATAAAATTCTAACAAAAATTGTGTTTCTTTGTTAATTGGATATTATTTTCAATACATTTGCTCAAAGTTTTACCTAAGGTTTGATGATTTTTTAAAAATTTTTCGTAATTGTTTGACAAACAATGATGAAGCCGTGGAGAGCCCCTCGGCAAAAATCCTAGCTCTGCTACTGCCCACGAGGCGCGGCAGCTGTGTAGGTCTGAGAATGAATTTTTTAATGGACCTATTGTATAATGTAATCTGATTTTATAACCAAAGTCTCTGGAGATCATGTTTACTCATTTTTATTTCCTACTAGTAACATATTTGCCATTAGAAAATTTCAGTGCATTGAAAAATAATTGGTGTCCCTATCAAAAGCTACGAAAGTAATTTGATAGAGTTAACAAGATATTATTTTTTGGGAGGGCTAAATATACATAAAAAGATTATTGACCAATCAAATTTTATTAGTAAATTTTTTCAAATTTTTATTTTTATCTTTTTAGAATTCTAGAGGGAACCTCCCCTAGCTCCACCTCTGCAACTTCTTATAAAATCTAAGGTGTGAAATTGAAGTGATATTTATTATAGAACAATGCTAGTTTTACAAAGACACATACAAATGGGGCATACAAAGATAATCTTCACCCTTGATTTTCATAATTTTTCTCTCTCTGTCTCTGTCTCTCTCTCTTTTTCTGTTTTTTCTTTGTTTTTTTCTTCTGGATGATATCATTTTGTAACCCTCTTTATATGAGTCTTTATAAGGATAACATTTTTCTTTATTATATATCGACTAAAATAATATTATATATCAACTTTAATCTATATTATGACAGATATATTAATATTAATATATATATGATTAACATAATACGTGGTTACCTTTTAATTATTTTTTTATTAATAGTTTCCAACAATGACTTATGGAGTCATAAGAAAATATATCAACAATAACTTAACTCTTTATTATTATATAAATCTAAACTTTATTATAAAGTATTACTGTATATAGTCTATACTTACATCTTTCTTATATTTTGATTTAAGAAGATTAATTAGATAGGTATTGTGAAGTGTGGGGAACATATTAAGAGAATTTATTCTGAGATTTTATTCCCCATTTATGTAAATGTGTATATTAATATTTATATAACAATCTAGAACATGTTAGTGATACTGATGTATATATTAAAAAAGCAAAAGATAAGATTTAGTGTCATTGTCATGTATTTCAGTGAGGATTTAATCATTATCCTGCCTTCGTCTTAAGTTATTGAGCCTCTTTAATAAGTTGCCATATTCTTAACATTAATCATATATAAATACAATGCATTTGTATTTATGTAGCCTATTCAGAAATTACATTTTCTCAACTTAATTAATAAATATGGTTCCTGATTGCAGCAAATTCACATGCTCTTGATATTAGCCATTAATTTGGTCAATATTTCAATGTTGAAGATTACAAATAACTTTCCTTTTCCCGTGATGACTTTAGAGTTTTATGTAAAATTTCTAACCTCCTTTTTTTCATTCGGGGGGTTTATATACAATATAAAAAGAAAAGAGTGAAAATAAAGAGATTACAATTGATTTGAACTGCAACTTTGATATTCTTGTGATTGGGCGTTGTGATTGCGCAAAGAGTGTTATTAATCTGATCATTCCTGTAATGTCTGGGATATGAAGTTATCTGGGAACAGATTGAATGATCATTCGGGTTATTCGCGACTAGCTTGTGCTGGGTCGAGCTATATGTCGACGAGCTTATGCTGGGTCAGACAACCAGTAGAGTCAGACTGATTCTACGTTTATCTAATACCTTGCAACTCACCGAGCTTGATGGAAAAATCACACACAACATTTGCCCCTAGTGTTCGATGCTCGTTCGAGCTTTGAAGATTATTGCTCGATTTGATATCAAGCTCGGCACTAGCAGCAGGTCACCGGATGCAGGTTTGGATAGAATTGAAGAATTACAGAATTATGTAGAAATTATAGAATCGTGTACGTACACACGATGTATAGAATTCAGAAATAAAGAATAAAATAGAAAATGTTTAAGTTAAGCGTGTTATTAGAATAGAATTTTGGGCTTTCCAAAAAAGTGTAGAAATAAAAGCCTTAGAATTAATAGGGTACATGCCAGAGTCGGACACGTATTTTGGGATCATGCATAGACAACATATAAATGCATAACATAGCATAGCATATATTTCAGAAATTTTATAACTATTGGAAATGTCTAGCTAGTTATTTTGCAGAGCATGTTTTCAGAGTGCTGTTGTGATGGGGAACCTATGAGCATTTGCTGCATTGGCTAGTGGCGATAGAGATGCAAAAGTTTCCTACATGCACGCCGCCATCATTGAGCGGCCTCAGAATAGAAAATAGAATTATACAGTTCGCTAGAAGTGCGTGTGGATGAGGATTGTACCTAGAAAGAATTTCAGAATACGCTCACACGGCCAGGCTTCCAAATCCATGGCTTAGCCTAGTCCGATCAACAAACCAGAGTAAAAAATAGAAAGAGTGTCAGAAAGAAAGAAAATTGGAATAAGAAACAGAAAACATAAAGAATTTTAGAGAGAAAGAAAAATATAATAAGAAATAGAAAACAGAAAGAAAAGAAAAGAATTTTCAGAAAGAATCCAAACATGATCATTTGCATATGCATCAGACATTTTATGTGCATTGCACGTTATGCATTTATGCATAAATTAAACAGTTTATTTATTATTGCATGTCTGACTAGCCAAGAAAAGAAAATAGAAACCCATGAGAATAGAGAAGAAAAGAAAAAAGAAGCCTACAAGAATAGAAAAAAATTAGAGATACACAAGAAAAAAACAGGAATTAGATACATGCTAGAAAAGAACAGAAATTAGAAACATGCCAAATAGCATGAAAACTTAGTGATTTGTTGAGTAGAGAAAGAACCAAAAAGTTATAATCTAGCAGAGAAGAGAAGTAAAATGATAAAGAATAGCACAGCCCTAGAAGGATTTAGAAAGATTTGAGAAAAATAGAAGACTGCTAAGTAGTACGCTTGAGAATAAAGAGAGAAAGCAAGCAGAAATTTAGAAGCAGTATAGCGAAAACGGGGACAACAGAGTAAGAACATAATTAGATTTGGTTTACTTACTAAACATTTATAGCTCACCCCGTTGCTTTCCTTGTTTTTTTGCATGTATTAGATTGTAGTGGTCGAGAGACGTCAGGCTAACGAGAGGATTGTACACACTATCTTAGTGAAGAAATCTAATGTGGATTTATATATGTGAGAAATAATCTTTGTGTAATAGTATGTTATAACTGGATTAAGGATAAAAATTT